AGAGAGAGAGAGAGAGAGAGAGAGAGAGAGAGAGAGAGAGAGAGAGAGAGAGAGAGCAGTGGATGAGCAGTGGATGAGCAAACAGACAATCAGACAGTGGATGAATAGGGAGCAAGGGATCGCCTTAGGTTGTCTGTGTGTGTGTGTGTGTGTGTGTGTGAGAGAGAGAAAGATTCTTCTTCTGCTCCTTTCTTCTGTCCTCCATCGCTCCTCCTCCTTCCCGTCTGGACCTCTTTACCTTCTTCCGACTATGAGAGAGTGTTGAGATTGGGTGATATTGGACGACAGACCAACATTGGGCAGAGGAATTGGGGGGACTATGTGGAGACTTCACGAGTGATATTTGAGTTAACGACGTCTCCAATCCTCCTCCTCCTTCGTCTCTCCCCCGTCCTCTTCATCTGTGGATGTTTGCTGGTCTGGAGCCCTTCGTTAGTGTACTGGGCTGCCAGGACCCCTCTCACCCAGTCCGATGACGATGAGCGTGACGCGGTCGGTCTGTGTCCTTCGAGTCAGATCATGGTATATCAGTCTTCCACTGCTCTATTTGGGTTTTATCTCATTGGGTCGGTTCTTTGTTCTGATCCTTATAGGCATGCGACAGCACCTCTTCTTGGGATTCGGATCTGCGTACCTTCTTGGGCTTCCAAACTTGTAGCAGTGCCATCCAATAAGTAAAGGCTGTCTGGTCCTTGTGTTGAGGTGCACTTCTCCCTTGGTTTTTCCGGCCTGTTTTTGGGCTTCAGTCCTTGTTCATAGTCCAAAATAACCCAGATATATTGGCAGGGCATTCCCTACCGTCTGCACCCGAATAGAACGGCCGGTAATTATCGCTGTATCTGGACTGAAAATTGCACCAAATATGGCTATAATGACCAGGCGCTCTATTCGGGTGAAGACGACAGGGGTCAGATTTCTGATGCTTTCTTGAACTGGTTAGTCGCATTCAACAATTTGACCACCCATTTTACTTCAAGCACTTCTGTTCCTTGTGTCTTGGGTCAATCATCGTTAAAATCCCCCATGGGAGGGCTTTTTTTCTTGTCATACGGTGCAATGGTATCTTACTATCCTTTTGGTATATCGTTCGGTTTGTTGGGGTTCCGGGACCACAGGTAGGCTCGGACTTTCCAGTTTATCTCTCTATCATGGTGTTGTCCGGTATCGTCCAAATTAAGAGATACTACTTCATAGAGAATATGGAAGTGTTGAGTTAAGGCGTTTCCCAATAGGGATGTGAAAGTCTGGTCCCATCTTTCCATTTTATTAATTTGATTGGACACTGGACAGCAAATTTGTGCCATCGGTGGGGCTGGACCATCCTTCCTCATTTGAATTCCCAAGGTTTTCCCATTTCATCGCTCATCTGAGTTTGCTTCATGTTGTTTTTTCCTACATTGGCGAAGCTGTTTCAATTTAACTATCTGTTCATCTGGGTGGAGAAGGGGTTGTTGTGATGACAGTATACAACAGACAGCCACCACATACGCACACACACACACACACACACACACACACACACACACACACACACTTAGGCACAACTGCACCCCTGACATTTCTATGGTGTTATGTGGGCTTGGCGGTATTATATGGCCTGCGTGATGCCACATGGGTTAGATGGTACAACCGGACTGGGGGGCACCATGTGGGGCGGGCCATAGCATGTGGACTGGTGTTACTAACGAATTCGCACAAACAAACAAAAAAAGGAAGGCAAACACAACCATTGAAGCAAAAACAAACACAAGGCAAACATCATGCACAACTCTGCCCTTGCCACACATCCAGGCGGCACTTTGTGGGCTGAGCAGTATGATGTGGCCTGGGTGATACTATGCGGGTCGGGTCGTTCCACGTGGGGTGGGTCGTACCATGTGTACCGGGTGGCACTATGTGGGATGCTGGTTGGGTGGTACTACGTGGGGCGGGTTGCACTATGTGGACCGGGTGGTACTATGTGGGCAGGGCGGTATCATGTGGCTTGGGTGATACTAAGTGGGGTTGGGTGGCACTATGTTGGGTGGGTCATTCTATGTGGACTGGGTGGTACTATGTAGCCCATATGATACTATGTGGGTCGTATTATGTGAACTAGGTGGCACTATGTGTGCTTGGCTGTTACAGTGTGGGGCAGGTGGGTAATCCTTCGCGGGCTGGGCGGTACGAATGACTCAAGAAAGAACACAGAAAACGAACAAAAGCTCAAGCGCATGTGGCTGAATGGTACAACCATCAACTGTTGATGGACAGACCTGAGCTCGAATCCTGCGAAGAGAAGTAGACAACAACTCTGAGATCCCTTTTTTCCTTTTGTTGTGAACTCGTCTGGGTTTGAGCTCGTGACGTGGTAGCCAACAGTCACGTGACTTTGTGCCACATCCAAACGGACCTGCTATATACGTGTACTCGGACATCCAGCGACAATGACGAACAGAATGGAAACCTGCCGGCAGCTCCAGCTCCACAGATGATGGAACGACGAAGAAGCGAAAATGAGACTACAGAGAACAACAAGAGAAAAGCAAAATCAACCAACTCCAAATAAAGTCCCGTTAGATAACGGAAAAAAAAAAAGACTAAACAGAAGCAGAATGCCCACGATGCAGAGCTAAGAAACAAATCAGCCAAAACGAACCCCCCCTCAAAGACAAAAAAAGGCGGTCATGATTGAGAAACAGAAAAACAACTTGCGCTGCCCTATATAGAGAGAAAAAACGGCCACCCCATGCAATTGAACACCAGTACGTTTCCCAGCCATTTTTTCAGAGTCGCCACGACCATGCAGCCAGGACTCTCGGGAAGTACCGGGGTACCGTTTTTTTTAGCTGGATATGCATGTAGGCAAAACGGGTCGCATGCAAGGCCCATTTTGCCTGGATCGATATCCAGCAAACGTCACCCCCGGTACTTCCGGAAACTTGCGGCTCCATTTGAAGCCGCATGTTTGATTTCTTACCTGGGAAACGCATTGGTGGTTTAAACCACCAGTACCTTTCCCCGCTTGAAAAACAAATACACTGCGGTCAACACGGGCAACTTTCAAGGCTGGGCCGCCCGTTGATAAATAAATCTCATCAGGGGCTCCTGTTGCGTTTCGGGCCTCCCAAAGTCGCGGTGAGGGGCCCACGGCCGATATCTGGGAAAGGCACTGGTGGCTTAAGTTCTGTTGGTATCTGTTACATGTGAAGGGATCCCTCCCCTACGATGTCATAAGAAAAGATGTGACAAGAACCCCTACGAAATTCTTCAAAGATGTGGGAGCAGGGCTAAGAATCTGAAGAATCTGTTCCTCCCGAACTTCTGAAGCGTAGAACAGTGATGTGTTTGGACAGTTCGGGTTGATGGTCCCATAGTGACCATGCGTTTGGAGTCTATGGGCGGGCGGATGGTCCCGTAGTGACCATGCGTTGGGAGTCGATGGGCACTTCATGACGATGGCTTTCAACATGAAGGCGATCTAACTAACCTGGGTTAGTGCCAAATTCAAGCTTCGATCACGGGCTAAGGTCTATTGGCTATAGCAGGTATAGCAAAGACCTAAAGAAACAACCATGCAATGGATGGTAACCAGGTTCCGAAATCCAGACTCCGAGCTCACTCTTTCGAGCCATTTTTCTTCCTAGAGGCTCGCTCGGGCAGAAAGGTCTGGCCAGAGTGGTTGGAGACTCTCGAAGAGACTTGCCGGAGTCGTAACTGTGTATGATATCGGGCAACTTCCTGATTGGAGTCATCCTTCATCCATGAGGTTATTCATTTACTCAAGTTGGAAAGTCGTGTGATGTACGGCATCTTGCACGGTTTGGTGGGCACTTTAGTACTAGACTGGACGTGTGAACGGGCAACCAACCGTTCAGTGGAAGTTTTGACCCAGTAACAGTGGAACTTACCACAGTTACTTTTTTTTTTTTTTTTTCCTTGGTTAGTTTCTTTCAATGTTCTAGGGACAAATGTGAACTGGTGTGACTCACGGTGTTAGCTGCGGTGAGGGCATCTGAACCAAACTGGACTGCATGGACTCAATATCAAATTGATGCCTGCATTGAAGTGCATTCCCGTACAAGTCTGGTGAACGTTTGCTGTTTCTGCTTCTCACAGTTTATTGGCGAGGAGGGATCGTCGATTAAAGGGACAGCAGAGCTGACAGATGCTCCAACGTGGATGGTGGACCCTCTTGATGGGACAACGAACTTTGTGCACCGGTAAGTTCATGTGTCAATGTGAAAATGTCCTTCAGTGCACCATAGGTTAGAAGATCGATCGCTCTTGCAAAGTGCCTGCTGGTCTGTTGTTCTAGGTTAACCGATAAGTGTGCTCACTTTCTGCGTTTTTCCATTAATGTGCTGTACAACCCAGGAAGTCCCATTACTTGTTTGCTGTTGAACCTTGTGCTGGTTGGGCAGGCACACTACATGGAGTCTGTAGGGGTAGAAGCGCAGGCAGGATATGTCTTGAAGGCACGTGCCCAATTCAACTTTTTAACCTACGGGCCAGAGCTGTTTGCAGCCCATCTGTGCGATGACAAAAGAATGTGCTGTTCGGTACATCAAAAGGTGGTGCGGGACACCGAAAACATGCTGTGTGCTGTACAGCTCACCAAAAGTGGTGTTGTGTACCTAAAAAGGCTAAAAATAATAAAAATATTAAATGTTAAATATCCAAGAAAGCTAAACATGTGCACCGTATGCTTTTTGCATGATCTTCCTTCCTCTCACAGACTTCCTCTCACACAGTCGCACTTGTCCTGGGCTTTCAAGTTCTGTCTCTGTGCTGCATTTCTGGAAGTGGAATAAGTTGAATTAAGTTGAATTAAGTTGAATTAAGTTGAAATAAGTTGAAATAATTTGAAATAAGTTGGAAATAATAAGTTGAAATAAGTTGAAATAAGTTGAAATAAGTTGAAATAACTACTATACTTTTTTTAATAACAATTTGTCAATTTGGACCATTTGTCGATTTATGTGTTTCATCCTTGAGGGCAGGGGCCACGCTGATTGTCTCTGTATCTTTCCAAATTTAACGGATGTCCTGAAGGACGAAGTTGAAATAACTTAAGTAACGTGGAGTTGGCAATGTGCTTTTTTTTTTCTTTTTTTTTTTTTGTTCCCTCTTCGTGTTCCGTTTGTATGTTGAGTTGCAGGTTTCCTTTTGTCTGTGTTTCTGTTGCGCTGGTTTTGAACAAGCAGACGGTCGCAGGAGTCGTTTATAATCCAATCCTAAATGAGGTATAGTATCGTCATGCTGCGCAAATTTTGCTGATACGATATGATATTAGAACAATTCATACTTGCAACCGCACGAGCCGCACATTCGTGCGGAGTTCCGTGCGGAGTTCCCTGCTTGGGGTGCCAGTGCAGAATCGTGCAGGTTTTTTATTTTTATTATTATCACTAGCAACATGACAAAGTTTTTCGGCCGCGGGCTGTGTCGGTTCACCTGTGATGAACTTCGGCCGTGCGATCAACGATTTTGAGACGTCGGATACGAATCTGACGCGTTTGACGCGCCGTGATACAATCTCGACCGATGATGCATGGATCGTGAGGCGTCCGATACAAAATCTGTCGCATCTGATGCGCCTCAGCCGGGCGCCGTTTCGTTTCTTTTTCTTTTCGTTTTTGTTTTTTTTTTGTTTTTCTACTTTTTTTGCGTTTCGGGCAGGAGTTTCACTGCTTTCCTTTTGCTTTCGCGCCGACCCTCCGCGCCCGCCCTCCGCCCTCCGCACCCACCCTCCGCGCTTTGGCCTTCGGATTTCGCCCTCTTCGCTTGCCCTCCGCTGGGCGCCGTTTCTTTTTTTTTTTTTCTTTTTTTTTTTCCTACTTTTTTTGTGTTTCGGGCGGGAGTTTCACTGCTTTCCTTTTGCTTTCGCGCCGGGCCCTCCACGCCCGCCCTCCGCTCTCCGCACCCACGCTCCGCGCTTTCGCCTTTGGATTTCGCCCTCTGCGCCCGCCCTCCGCACCCGCCCTCCGCGGTTTCGCCCTTCGCCTTCGCCCTCCGCACCCACCCTCCGCGCAACGAAAGTGCTTTCGCACCCGCCCCCCCGTGCGCACGCACACACACGCAGCCGCCCGCCTGCCTGCGCGCGACCTATTTGCCACTACGTCTCTCTCTCTCTCTCTCTCTCTCTCTCTCTCTCTCTCTCTCTCTCTCTCTCTCTCTCTCTCTC